GAGCCTCTCTCACAGTTCCCAAGCATTGTTCACTATGGGTCATTGTTTTGACCATGTTCCAACAGATATGAATATAAATTCCCAGAAGACAATTTGATCAAATGACCATTTAGAGAAATAACATTAATAAGTTATTCCCCTAGGGCCTATTATTTTCCAATTCAAGGATTTTGAGCATGGTTTATAGTAACAGGCAGAGAATCCCTCCCATGAAGCAGGCCTTAAATACAATCAACTGAGCAGTTAGTTACCCCCATAAATAGTCTGCCACTATTTCACCAGTGGACACATCTTGGCTAACAGATCCATGTATTGTAGTATGCAGGGCCCAGCAATGTTAAGACCACTGATGCCTTTTTCCACCTCGCAGATTACATAGCGCGCGCACATACACACACACACGCAAATCATCATCATCATCACCATCATTATCTATCTATCTGTCTGTCTATCATCTATTTTTATATACTCTATATACATATATAGAGAGAAGGGGCTTGGGTAGAAAGTATATGATATAAAAAAATGAGGAGGAAAATATTGGAAGCTAAGGTTTAAGTGTGTATGGAGACAGGCAGGCAGGGGAAAGGAGGCATAGGAGTTGAGTTAACCAAAGGTAAGAACATTTAAAGAAGGCTTATGTTTATTTTGCATGAACCTTAACTATTTCCTAACCACTGTGTATCCTCTGACAGAGAATTGTTTGTCCTGTGTTACTGTAACTATTGTGGTGGTGCTGGTTTCATTTTACTTTGTTTTGAGGCAAGTGACTAACAAGAAAATATCTTAAACAAATCCACTGCTTTTGCTGTTGGGCCATCTAACATGTAAGTCAGTTCACCAGAGGAAAGCCTACTCACAGACGACTATACTCACTGATCACCCCCAGGCCAGATTCATACCACTCTTATGTACTTACGTGAATGTCAAACTTTGCTTATGATACATAACAGAGTGGGCATTACTCTGAGCCATCAAAGTTCAATCTGATACACTATTTGAGGAGTATGTCTTTACTCACATCTGTTAATGAAATCTCACAGCTGTCAGAGAGTGAAGTTCAGTGGTAGGTACCTAGCATGTTCAAGGTTCTTGTTGGTTCCCAGCACAATGACAACAAAAACATGCTAAAATCTTTGTAAAAGCTGTAATTGCTTTGCTTGTAAAATATCTAAATATTTATGTAAAATTTCTTTAGTAGTTGAGAGTGTTAAAAAACTAAGGAAATAATTAAAACATTATAATACTAGCCATCTTGAAGCTCAAAGTTGTGTATTTTGTGTTAGTGTCTACTAGAACATGTCTGGATGGACAATGTTCTTTGATAATTCTTATTTTACCATTATTCATTTCACAGTCATTTTTAAAACAATTGCTATTGCTAGACACTCTGGCAGTAGTTTAGGATATAGATAAGTAGTTTGGGATATAGATAAGTAGTTTAGGATATAGATAAGTAGTTTAGGATATAGATAAATAGTTTGGGATATAGATAAGTAGTTTGGGATATAGATAAGTAGTTTGGGATATAGATAAGTAGTTTGGGATATAGATAAGCAGTTTAGAATATAGATAAGTAGTTTGGGATATAGATAAGTATAAGACTGTCGAGACAGGTTTTACATGCAGTATTGTTGTGGAAAATGTTGAATAAACTATTATAATGTGGTTATAGAAAATGTTAAGACAGATGATATAGGAGCCTAAGTAGATGGAGAGAAGAGCCAGTGAGGGCTCCTTGAAGAATGAGCTGAGTTCTCAAAATACTAGTAGAAGTTAATCAGGTAAAAATTAAAAGTGAGAAAGTCAAACAAACACTGACAGAGCAGAATAATATGGAAATTTTCAGTTAGCCAATAAAACTGTCCCAGTAGGGCAGATGTGTAGGTAGTGTGAATGGGAACTCCTAGAAGGAACTTGTATCTGCAAAGATTGATTAACTGATTATAACCTCAGAATTGTTGGGAGATTAGAATGTTGCAGGTCCGGAGGATAATAACTTAATCTTGGGCTAGTTTTAGCCATTGGAATGGTCATTCCTTGTTCACTTCTGTGGAACTACTAGAATCCTGTGATTAATAGAGGAAAACCTTTGGAGTCTATTAACTTAGCAGACCCACTGGCTTCCACCAACCCCAAAGCTAAGAATGTCATTAGAGAACATCTTAAACTGGGGAAAAGCCTCACTCCCTAACTTGCTATAACTGCACACCTGGTGTACCAACCAATGCATTTTAAACTCACCTTGATTCATGACTTTCTTTGTTCTGTAAAACTATAAAACTCCATGAAACCACTTTCATGTTCAAACATAGAATTGGGTAACCAAAATCTGTGTTACATGGCTCAGGTTCCTCAAAATGACTCCATAATGAATGATCTCTTACTCCTTTTAAGATCAGACCTGTTTTGTGTTGAGAATACTTATGTAAAAACAATAAACTCAGTTTAAAACCAAACTGGAAATACGACTATTGAAGTTTTACTTTTCATCATAAAAGTACACATTTTTAATATGAAAACTATAGAAAATCTTTGCAAGAATGGAAGCTTTGTTTTCATAGCAATCCTATTGGCAAGTGTGTGGAGGATAAATTATAGTGAGGTTTTTAAAGGCAGGAGTGCAAAGGGAGTTCCTGTGTCTACCAGGCACCAGCCTAGACTTGAACAGTCACTATTAACAAAGATGTCTGCAATCCTGGTACTTGGAAGATCAAGGCATGCTGGGCGGTGGTGGCGCACGCCTTTAATCCCAGCACTCGGGAGGCAGAGGCAGGCAAATCTCTGTGAGTTCGAGGCCAGCCTGGTCTACAAAGTAAGTTCCAGGAAAGGCTCAAAGCTACACAGGGAAACCCTGTCTCGAAAAACAAAATAAAACAAAAACAAAACAAAACAAGCAAACAAAAAAAGATCAAGGCATAAGATTCATGATCTGAAATGAGCTCTTTGTGTTGTTCAGAAACCATGCTACAAATCCAATCACTCTTTCACTCCCCTAACTTCTACTGTATCACTTTTCTGTTTCTCTCAAATTGCCACTTCATCTCCAACATAACAGTTAACTGATCTTTCTTTGTATTTTATTGAGAAAATAAAAGCAACTGAAAGGGATCCTCCACATCAAACCTTCACCCTACTTATAGTCAATGTTGGTGTCTATTTTCAAATCTCCTATGTATTCCAGAGGTAATTCACTGGGTTCATACCTATAGTGAGCCCCTCCCCATGGTACTAAGTGCCATCCTCTTACCTACTCAACCAAATGTCCCCACAACCTACTGACATATTGCTCTCTTACTATATTTTATTTACATTAACATATAAGCATACCGATTTTCCCCCTATATTGAAAATCCTTCTCTAGCTTTAACCTGTCCACACGGCCTAAAGACATAGGTGGCTTAGCTGTGCTTTCCTAGCATGACTTTCAACCCACTCTTTTCACCCTGTGGCTAGATGCTAGGGACCTTGGCCATCTTCCAAACTCTCATCCTCTCCTTAGTATTCACCAGATCAGACATAATTCCCAACTCTGGTACAATTATGACTGCTCACACCAGATCTATCTTCCAGGCCACACCTATCTGCACACCATATTCTCCAGACCATCTTGATGAGTTCACTTGACCTTACCTTGTCTTCAACCTACACAATTTCCCTTACCCTTGTTCCCACAAACATCGAGAGCCCTGGAACAGATTGGTGCCATGCAATTATGCCTTTCACAACCTCCAAGTTCAGGCTCTTTCTGTTTCCATATCAGAAATACAAACAATGAAAGAAGTCAATATCACACAAACATCATGAAGGTCAAAATAGCATATGTTCTCCAACCCTCTAAGACCACCAGTTCTATAGTAATGTTCTCCAATGATAATTATTTAGATCAACATCAGAACACAGAACCTAAAAAAAAAAGTATACTTTATCAGTGAATTCAAGAAGTTTAAAGAATACAAAACAGCTCAATGAACATGAAGAGAATGAGTTTAAATAGAATAAATGCCTGAGTGATGTCCAAGAAAATACAAACATAAAGCTGAATGAAATGATTAAGACTGTCCAGGATTTGAAAACCAAATTCAAAAAAGAGAGACATTGAAGAGAACTGAAACTGAAATTAAGATGAAATTGAATAACTCAATAACCCAACTAGAAATTCAAAGGAAGTGTAAAGGGTCAAATAGAAGATAGAATATCAAGTCTCACAAATAAAGTTGAGGAATTAAACAATACAAGCAAAGAATGGGGAAAAATTCAAGACAGAAACATGTAGAAATTAAGCAAAACCATGAAAGACAAACATTACTGAGTTATCAGCATAGAGGAAGGCTAAGAACCACAGGTTAATGACAAACACCAGTTCTACAAAAAACAGCATTAAAAAAATCCTTACCCAAATGAAGGAAAGACATACCTATACGGATGCAAGAAACACACAGAATACCATAAATGGGACAAGAAATTCCCCAAGGCACATCATTGTCAAAAGACCAAATATACTGAACAAAGTAAGAGTACTGAGATCTGCGAGAGAAAGTAGAAGTCACATATAAAGGAAAACCCATTAGAATAACAGATGATTTCCTAATTGAAACCTTGAAACCCAGAAGTTCCTGAAGCAATGAACACAAATTTTAAGAGACCGAAGACATCAACCTAGACTACAATTCCCAGCACTACCCTCTGCTGCAGATACAGGAGAAATGACAACAACAACAACAACAAGACAAAACAAAACTAAACAAAAAATCCCAGCAGACTTTGTGTGCTCTGGATTGGCTTAAAGGATTCACATTCCTACAGAGAATTCTGGAAGCAAGACTTCAGACTAAAGAGCGAAATAAGCACAGTCAAGAGAATGTAAATGGAAATAAATGCAGGTATACTTACTAAAACACAAAGCCCAACTAAGAGCACAAACAACAATAATAACAAAACACAAAATTATTGTAATCAACAACTTAAACCAACATCCCTGATGAACCAAGTTGCAGACCTTAATTAGACGAAAGAGCTCCACGGCCTAGAGTCATGTAGGAGAAGAACTGTTGCTTCAGAGAAGGGTTTCTGGTATAGACAATGATGAGACTCCCCCAAACAGTCCCAATCCCGGCCCCAGAGCCAGTCACCCCCACTGTACGAGCAACCCTAATGAGCTTGGCAGCTGTACTGATGCCCCTTGAAATGGTTTGGAAGTTGCTGCTAGGGATGAGTGAGGTCAGAAGACTAGTGATTGTCAAGCTACTGAGGCCCTTATCTGTCAACTTCTCCGATTGGTTCAAATCTACTGTGGACAGCAGCCAACTCAGCAGCTGAGAAGTGCTCCTCCTGATCAAGGAGCCATTAGAGACCAACTTGGAGCAGACACACATTTTCAGGGGTGAGGGACCAAGACAGGAGAGCTGCTCCCAGGGTAGAGAAGACTGTGTGAAAACCAACTTTTCATTACAGTGCTTAAAATCATAGAACTATGTCACTTGACACTAATTATGGCAAGTTCAAATTGTGACAAATATTTCATGCATTGCCACATGCTGGCTGAGCACAGTCCTGTGAATGGTGGAAAACATTTAGCCTTGTCTTTTTTACTTGATACAAGAACTTGAAAACAGATTTCAAGAGTTCTGAAAAAAAAAAATCAACCATACTTCAGCATGTTCAGTAAAAGTGTGATTCTGTTTTCAGTCAACATAAAAGTGTTATCTACTAATTTCCAAGTGGCATTCCTAGTTTAGCTCCTTTTTTTTTATTTCCTATTATTCATCTTGGTTGACTCCTTAATCTGAATGCTCAGTCTGCTTACAAGTCTCCTCTTATCCACCTCAGCTTTTGTGTTGTGCCAGAGGCATTTTAATTGATCGATGAACCTGTGTGCTGATAATCTGTGAGTATTTTTTTTTGTCTTTGTAACAGAAGTGAATAGAAAGTACCACACTGATGGCTACTATGATAGAGGAAGGAACTATGTGTGATCTCTAGGTAACTGTTCCTACTTGTGCTTACAAGAGATGGCACACCTTTAAACACTCAGTCAGTAGAGGTTGTATTCTTCAGACATAGGCCCATGGATCTACTGAAACTGCCTCTACTCAGCATTAATGTGACTCTTTGGATATTTTTATGCCCTGATGTAGATGTATCCAATCGTATTATTAAAATAAGAAACACAGAGCCAAGGTAAAAGAGAAA